ACAAACATTAATAATTTTTAACATTTTTATTAATAAAATATAAAGATATGAATTACATTGAACTCACTGATTATAAAAATTACAAAAATTAAGAGAGAGCTGAGAAGCGAAAGAAGCTTAATTTTTTTATAGCATATAACAATATAAAAAATTATGAAAAGTGTTATCTTAAAAAAGAATTTAAAAACATATACATTCAAAACTTAAAAGAGATACGAGAGAGATATATTTTAACTTAAAAATAAAAAATAATAAATTAAGAAATTTTAAATGAAAAAAGTAATGCTTTTAAAGGATACGGATCATAAAAACACAGTACAATAGATATTTTAAAATTTTAAAAATGGGAAGATTATCGTATTATTTGTAAGTAAATCAAAATTATGAATATGATTTATGATGTATCCCCTTTTAAGAAAAACTAAAAGATGTCCATAAAAACACTAGAAGAATATGAAAAAATGTTTGTACATATGACACACCCGAGAAGATTTGGATAAATTTGACAACAAACTCTCTGAAAGAGAGAAGCTTGTTGCAGCATACTCATGGGTCCTTACGCTTTAGATTGGAAATATTGTACAACTTAGACAAATAAATGTTTATCTCTGTTAGAAAATGGGTAAATTCATTAAAGAAAAAATTGGGAATGAGCATTTGGGTGAATTAAAAAAAAATGATTTAAAAATTTTCATGTTTCAAGCGTGTGAAATTGAATTGATTTTGGTGTAAAACTAATATGAGTTAATCACCTATACATTATCAGTGTAAAGTTTTTTTACACTGACAACCAATCATATCTTTTAATAGTGTCATGTCATTTACTTATTTAATGAAATAAAAATAAAATAAAATAATTTAAAAGACATGATTGATTGCCAATATAAAAAACTTTACACTAATAATGTATGGATGATTAACTCAACTAATAATACCCGCTTACTTGATGATTAGTTTATCCTTTTGGTGACTATGTTTAATCCAAAATATAGTTATTAGTTGCACGTCATTTTAACAAGTAGTTGGAACTTGGAATGCAATCTAATTCATTAAAAAAAAATGCAACTGAAACCTTGTTGTCTCTTCCTTCTTGTTCATAAGAAGCATCATCCATTTGATGGCTTCATTTTATTTTATTTGAAAATGACACATGTTGATTTAATTAATTTAATAATTATTTAAATAATAAACTATAATGTGCTTATGTTGACATTTCACCTTATTAATTCATGTAATTGGTGTCAATGTGTCGAAGTTGTTCCCAAATCAACATTAATGGTTTATAATGGGAGGGAGCCCTTGTGTTGAAAGAACAGAAAAAGAAAAAAAAAACCGAGTCTGATAGTGTTTGAAAATTTTGAGAGACTAAAAAAAATACGTTATAATTTTAGAGAAAAACTATATTTAATTTTTATTAAATTTAGTAAATCACATAATGGATTACTAATTTTATCATGTGAAGGTTACATTCTGGATCGAATTCGACCATTTTATATTTTCATAAGACTTGCGTTGATGATGAAAATAGACGTAATTTTACTAAAAAAATTTAAAAGAGATTGATAATTAGATCTTATATATATATGAAATCATGTCTTTTCTAATCTAAATTTTTTACAACGAAAAAAAGTATTACTTCTGCTAATATATATATATATATAAAAGACTCAATTACTTATTTCATCAAAATTAAGAAAAATTAGTTAATTCAATTGATAACTGTTCTTACCGGAAATTTGCTATAGAGATGATCCTCCGAGTAAGATTGGTGAGCCTCCTTCGCTGGTACGCTTGATGCTCCAAGATGGGGGTGGTACCTGCAAAAGAGACTCTGATGCTAAAGTTAGTGTTTGTGGGTGTATGAGTCTCGTATAAGTAATGCACGTACCTTTGTGTGTATTAGGGTTTTGTTGGGCCTTGGGCCCGAGATCAGTTTATGACCTAATTGGATACCGAGCCGATGTCGCCTAGCGCGTGTCTGAGGTCACTCCGCGCTGTGATGCCGAGCTCAAGCTCGACATAGCGGTACGAATAGTACACTAGCCCCCCGAGGTCCGAAGACCGTAGGTCGAGGAGTTAAGACCGAGTTTGACAAGGGGTCGTGACTTTTCGCGTACGCCTATTTGTCATTCAATATTGGCGTAATCAAGCCAAACATCCATCTTGGGAAGATTTCACGTGAGCTTTGCTGAAGAGATATGGCGAGAATGGTTGTGGTACTGTATACGAACGACTGGAAACCCTTAGACAGACCGGCAACGTGGAAGATTATGTCCAAGAATTCGAGCTATTGATTGCCCAGGCCAAACCCGGTTCAGAGGAACAAGTCTTGGGATACTTCTTGCGTCGCCTTCATCAGTATGGAATATTGAAACCATTGGCAAGGCTTGCCAATGGTTTCAATATTGGCGTAATCGAGCCAAGCATCCATCTTGGGAAGATTTCACGCGAGCTTTGCTGAAGAGATATGGCGAGAATGGTTGTGGTACTGTATACGAACGGCTGGCAACCCTTAGACAGACCAGCAAAGTGGAAGATTATGTCCAAGAATTCGAGCTATTGATTGCCCAGGCCAAACCCAGTTCAGAGGAACAAGTCTTGGGATACTTCTTGCGTCGCCTTCATCAGTATGGAATATTGAAACCATTGGCAAGGCTTGCCAATGGTTTCAATATTGGCGTAATCAAGCCAAACATCCATCTTGGGAAGATTTCACGCGAGCTTTGCTGAAGAGATATGGCGAGAATGGTTGTGGTACTGTATACGAACGGCTGGCAACCCTTAGACAGACCAGCAAAGTGGAAGATTATGTCCAAGAATTCGAGCTATTGATTGCCCAGGCCAAACCCAGTTCAGAGGAACAAGTCTTGGGATACTTCTTGCGTCGCCTTCATCAGTATGGAATATTGAAACCATTGGCAAGGCTTGCCAATGGTTTCAATATTGGCGTAATCAAGCCAAACATCCATCTTGGGAAGATTTCACGCGAGCTTTGCTGAAGAGATATGGCGAGAATGGTTGTGGTACTGTATACGAACGGCTGGCAACCCTTAGACAGACCAGCAAAGTGGAAGATTATGTCCAAGAATTCGAGCTATTGATTGCCCAGGCCAAACCCAGTTCAGAGGAACAAGTCTTGGGATACTTCTTGCGTCGCCTTCATCAGTATGGAATATTGAAACCATTGGCAAGGCTTGCCAATGGTTTCAATATTGGCGTAATCAAGCCAAACATCCATCTTGGGAAGATTTCACGCGAGCTTTGCTGAAGAGATATGGCGAGAATGGTTGTGGTACTGTATACGAACGGCTGGCAACCCTTAGACAGACCAGCAAAGTGGAAGATTATGTCCAAGAATTCGAGCTATTGATTGCCCAGGCCAAACCCAGTTCAGAGGAACAAGTCTTGGGATACTTCTTGCGTCGCCTTCATCAGTATGGAATATTGAAACCATTGGCAAGGCTTGCCAATGGTTTCAATATTGGCGTAATCAAGCCAAACATCCATCTTGGGAAGATTTCACGCGAGCTTTGCTGAAGAGATATGGCGAGAATGGTTGTGGTACTGTATACGAACGACTGGAAACCCTTAGACAGACCGGCAACGTGGAAGATTATGTCCAAGAATTCGAGCTATTGATTGCCCAGGCCAAACCCGGTTCAGAGGAACAAGTCTTGGGATACTTCTTGCGTCGCCTTCATCAGTATGGAATATTGAAACCATTGGCAAGGCTTGCCAATGGTTTCAATATTGGCGTAATCAAGCCAAACATCCATCTTGGGAAGATTTCACGCGAGCTTTGCTGAAGAGATATGGCGAGAATGGTTGTGGTACTGTATACGAACGGCTGGCAACCCTTAGACAGACCAGCAAAGTGGAAGATTATGTCCAAGAATTCGAGCTATTGATTGCCCAGGCCAAACCCAGTTCAGAGGAACAAGTCTTGGGATACTTCTTGCGTCGCCTTCATCAGTATGGAATATTGAAACCATTGGCAAGGCTTGCCAATGGTTTCAATATTGGCGTAATC